CCTCCGCCAGCTCGCTCTCCCTCGGTCCTCCTGGGTCCTCCTCCTGCTGCCGCTTCGCTTCCCCCCCCGCCGCTCGTTGGCGGCAGGGGGAAGCGCGGCCCGGCCTGGCGCGGGGTGGGAGGGGGAGGGTTGGGGCGGAGAGGCAGGGGAGGGTTGGAGCGGAGAGGTCCAGGCGAGGGCGATGGAGTGAGAGGAGGAGGGGGAGGAGGAGGGGAGGAGGAGGAGGAGGAGGAGGAGGGGGAGGAGGAGGGGGAGGAGGAGGAGGAGGAGAACAATGCTAAAGTTCTTAGCCGTTGTAGCGCACGGCTGGACGCCAAGCCTTCAAAGGGCAAGCTGAACAAGCTTTACGCTTCAGCCTCAAGTTTCAGCTTGAAGCTTCAGATCTGGTCTGGCTGGTCGGGTTGGTCTGTTTGGGGCCTAGTGCTGAACCTTAGCGTAGGATTCGGGAGAGAGTGGTTTAGGGGACTCCAGGGAGGCAGCGCAAACCATACGACCGAAACACAGTTTGTGTTGCATTGCAGTTTTTCCTGCATTGCAGTTTTTGTTGCATCTGGTCTGGTTGGTCTGTTTGGGGCCTAGTGCTGAAGCTTTAGCTTGTGATTCGGGCGAGAGTTGTTTAGGAGAGGTCCGGGGAGGCAGCGCCAACCACTACGACCGAAAAGCAGTTTTTTCCATTGCTGTCTTTTTGCATTGCAGTTCTTTTTGCATCTGATCTGGCTGGTCTGCTAAGTCTGTTTGGGGCCTAGTGCTGAAGCTTTATTTTAGGATTCGGGCGAGAGTGGTTTAGGGGAGGTCCGGGGAGGCAGCGCCAAACACTACCACCGAAGAACAGTTGTTTTAGCATTGCAGTTGTTTTGCATTGCAGTTTCTTTTGCAGTCTGGTTGGCGCCTAGCACTGTAGCTTTAGCTAGGGAGTCGGGCGAGAGTGGATTAGAAGAGGTCCGGGGAGGCAGCGCAAACCACTACGACCGAACAACAGTTTTTTTCTGCATTGCCGTTTTTCGGCATTTCAGTTTTGTTGCATCTGGTATGGGTGGTCTGGTCCGTCTGTGTGGAGCCTACCATTGTAGCTTTAGCTTAGGATTCGGGCGAGAGTGGTGTAGGAGAGATCCAGGGTGGCAGCGCCAACCACTACGGACGAAAAACACAGTTCTTGTTGCATAACATGTTTTTGCATTGCAGTTGTTTGTTGCATTGCAGTTTTTTCATTGCAGCTTTTGTTTGCAGTCTGGCTGGGGCCTAGCAATGTAGCTTTAGCTTAGGATTCGTGCGAGAGTGGTTTAGGGGAGGTCCAGGGATTGCAGTTTTTTTGCATCGCAGGTTTTTGTTGCATTGCATTGTTTGTTGCATGTGGTCTGGTTGGTCTGGTTGGAATATAGTGCTGAAGCTTTGGCTTAGGATTCGGGCGAGAGTGGTTTGAGGAGGTCCAGGGATTGTAGTGTTGTTTGCATTGCAGCTTTGTTTGCATTGCAGTTTTTTTGCATTGCAGTTTTTTGTGGCGTCTGGTCTGACTGGTCTGGTAAGTCTGTGTAGGGCCTAGTGCTAGAGCTTTAGCTTCGGATTAGGGCGACAGTCATTTAGGGGAGGTCCAGGGATGGGATATTTTTTTGGATTGCAGTTTGTTTTTGCATTGCAGTTTTTGTTGCTTCTGGTCTTGCTGGTCTCGTTGGTCTGGTTCGAACCTAGTGCGGAAGCTTTAGCTTAGGATTCGGGCGAGAGTGGTTTAGGGGAGGTCCGGGGGTTGCAGTTGTTTGCATTGCAGGTTTTTTGCATTTTATTTTTTTCGAATCGAGTTTTTGTTGCATCTGGTCTGGCTGGTCTGGTTGGTCCGATTGGAGCCTAGTGCTGAAAATTTAGCTTAGGATTCGGGCGAGAGTGTTCTAGGGAAGCTTCATGGGGGCAGCGCCAACCCCGACGACCACCGAGACACAGTTTTTGTTCCTGTGCAGCTATTTTTGCAGTGCAGTTTATTGTTGCAGTGCAGTTTTTTGTTGCATCTGATCTGGCTGGTCTGGTTGGTTCGGTTTGAACTTATCTCTGAAGCCTTAGCTTTCAGGATTCGGGCGAGAGTGGTTTAGGGGAGCTCCAGGGTGGCAGCGCCAATCACGACAACCACCGAACACGCAGTTTTTGTTATTTGCAGTGCTTGTTGCATTGCAGGTTTTTGTTGGCATTGCAATTTTTTTGGCATGTGGTGTGGCTGGTCTGACTAGTCTGCTTGGTCCGGGCAGGTTGGTCTGCTAAGTCTGATTTGTGCTTCGCTGGTCCGAACGGCTGGCTTGTCTGGCTGGTCTGATTTATATACCTGGCTGGTCTGGCCGGTCTGACTGGGCGGTCTGACTGGGCGGTCTGGCTAGTCTGCTTGGTCGTCGCCGTCGTCCTCGTCCTCGCCCTCGGCCTCCTCGTCGACGTCATCGTCGTCATCGTCCTGCCCATTGAAAATTGCGTCGCCGCAGCCCGGGCTGGGACCGAAAGCGCTGCTGCTTCAAGTCCGGCTGCGGCGGAAAGGGAACGGGGAGCGCAGGAACATCAGCAGCCATATCAGTTCTCATGCCCCCAATCAAAGTAAGGCGCTGGGGCATGAGAACTTTTCGCCTCGAGCAGCTTAGAATGAACAGAAGGAGGATGTTGTTGGGGACGGGCGGAAGCCAGGGCGACCCAATATCAAACGAACTCAGACGCGTCTGAACCCCGCTCCTTACGGAAGGGAGCCGCAAGACGCGTCAGCGCAACCCCCCGAGCTTTGACCCAGGGGAAGTTATCATCAGTCAAACCGAACTGGTCCAGGATGTGGCTCTCGTGGGGCAGCCAGAAAGAGGATGAGGGGAAAAAGGATCAGCAGGAGGAGGAAGAGAAGGACGAGGATGATGAACACAAGAAGGCCCCAGTTCAGACCAGAGAGGGGTGACGCCCCCGGAAGGCCAGGGCTCCTGCCGAGCCAGCACACAGGGTCCCATGGGTCCCTCTCTGCCCGGATTGGCGCCTGTAGCGCCCCCTTTCTCCTTTTCCGCTCTCCACCGCCCGGACGTGCCACTGGTGTTCTTCACCTTCTCTTCCGCCCAGTCGTCAGGAAGCCTCCCCGCAACTCCGGGGGCATCCAAGAGGGGGGTAAGGACTATTTGTATGGTCTTGGCCAGGGCCATGAAGCCCTACCAGATGTCTTGGCCTCCTTCTTCTTTCGGCACATCCCCGAACCCACCCTCGTCCGAGCACGTGCCTCCTAAAAAGATTCCGTGTACGGTTCGAAGTCTTCGGGAACCTCCAGGAATTTCCCAATGTTTGCGGAAACCTTCGATTATCCTCCTCCTCATCATTTTCCTCATCCTCTTCGCAATGTAGCCACATTGATGACATTCTGGGCTACCAGGGCATCCGTCAATTCCCTCCCCCAGCCCATCTTCCCCTTCCTTTCTTCACCTCACCCCTCCTCCTCCTCCTCCTCCTCCTCCTCCTCCTCCTCCTCCTCCTCCTCCTCCTCCTCCTCCTCCTCCTCCTCCTCCTCCTCCTCCTCCTCCTCTTACTCCTTCTTTTCCTCCTCCTCCTCCTCCTCCGTTTCCTCCTCCTCCTCCTCCTCCTCCTCCTCCTCCCCATCGTCCTCCCTCTCCCTCTCTTCCGTACAGATAGCTCCTCCCGGCCGTGCCGCCCGACGTGCCGTTAGGGCGATGCGGGCTGCGGGCACACTCGGCCCCAAAAGGCCTCAGCAGCTCCACGGACGCAGGGCGGAGCCTTTCCCCAAGCGGTGCCCTCTCGCTCAAAGCCCTGCTCGGCGTCCGCGGCACCCGTGCCGAGCGTGGGCAGCTGCTCGAGGCGGAGCTCCCGCGGGACGGCTCCCTGAACTGTCTCTGGGCCTCCCCCACTGGGCGCCTTCGAGCCGGGAGGACGGGAGGCGGATCCGCCACCGTTCCACAGTCCGGGGCGCGATCTGCACGGCAGGCCCATGGGCCGGGCATCGCTCGGACGTGTGTATGTTTCCTTCCGCGAGGGCCATCGAGGAGCATCCTTGATCACTTGGCGAAAAAGCCACGCACAACACCGAAACAAAAAACAAAGGGAATGGAGGTTCGAGCGATGGCCAGTGGGGCGACCCTCTGTCGAGGGGGGGCCTGTCCCAGCAGTGGGAAGGAAGCTCGTGCAGTCGGGCGGGGGGCATAAGAACGAGGTGAGTTCGGGGAGGGTGCCCTACAGTGGGGGCGCGTGCCAAGAAACCAGTTGGATTCTGCCAGGGTGCCCTGGGTTTCTTGGATTTCGATGGGCCTCCAATAAGCTCTTGACGATTTTCGATCGACAATTTTGGATTTTTGCTGAACAAATCGCGGATTTCAGGGTTGGGTTTCTTGCGGAGGTTTCTTGTGGCCGAGCCCCCACTGTAGTGTTCTTCGCGTCTGTTGGATGTTCCTGTGCATCCTGGGGAGGGTACCCTTGGATGTTGTGTCTGTTTTGGCCGACGGAGGGTCGCGTGTTCTTGAAGGATGCTCTTCTGGCCCAGGTCCGACTGTAAGAATGAGAGGGCGGGCGCGGGGTTGGTCGCGGGTGGGTCGCGGCTGGGTTGCCGAGTGGTCGCAGGTGGGTCGCGGGCGGGTCGCGAGGTGGGTCGCGGGTGGGTGGGTCGGGGGCGGGTCTCGAGGTGGGGCGCGGGTGGGTCGCGGGCTCCCCCGATTTGCATATCGCTGATTCATCTCGTCTTGGGTTTACTCTGGTTTCTTCTCCTCCTCGTCGTCGTCCTCCTCCTCCTCCTCCTCCTTCTCCTCCTTCCCCTCCTCACTCCGCGCCGGCGTCAGCATAGACCATAAGGGGGCCTCCTCCCTCTCCGCCCCCTCTCTCTGTCCCCCCCCTCGAACCCCCACCTTCCCCCTCCCCATCCCCTCTCTCCTCCCTCCCCCTCCTCCCTCCCCCTCCTCCCTCCCCCCCTCCTCCCCCTCTCCCTCTCTCTCTCTTCCCTCCCGCCCTCCCCTCCCCCCCCTCCTCTCTCCCCTCCCCCCCCCGCCTAACCTCCGCCCCAGGTCGGCGAGGCCGACTTGGGGAACACTGGCCTCGTGGTGTACGTCGGCGGCCTCTCGGCGCCCTCCCCGGCCTCCGCCGTGGCGGCCCGAGGACAGCGGATCGCGAGGGGCTGGCGCCGGCATGCCGGCGGGCCCAGTCATCGTTGTCGTCGTCGTCCTGGTCGTCGTCGTCCTCGTCGGCGTCCTCGTCCTCGTCCTTGTCGTTGCGTTGGCGCTGCTGGGGTTCAGTCGGGCATGTCACTCTACAGGAGGAAATATTCAAAGATAGTTAAACAAGAGTATGTTTTTTTGGTTAGTTTTGACTATTGTTGATTAGTTGAACTATGCTTTCTCTTTTGTCCCGACCTGCCCGACCTGATGCTGAGGGGAGGGGAGCATCGGATATGTCCGGTGCTGGGCCGGGGTCTTGGTGCCGGCTGCTGGCGCCGCACCCTGCCATGATTTCTGGCTTCCAGCGGGGGCGTCGTCCTCGTCCTCCTCGTTGTCGCGTCAGCACGCTGGGGGGGGGTCTGCGGCAGGGCAGCAGACAGATAGCCGCACAATTCGGCAGTGGTCAGCCACGCGCAGAGGGGGGGGGAGGGGGGAGGGCTTCTTAGAAGCACCCCTGCTTCTTAGAAGGCGCGGGCCTTATCTGTAGATGTAAGGCCGGCGCCTTCTGAGAAGCAGCCTCCTTCTAAGAGGCCCTCCCCCCTCCCTCCACCCTTGTGCGCACCGCCAAGGTGGAACAGTCTCAGCCCCACGTGCGGGGCGTCTGGGGCAGGGATGGTGCAGGGAAGTCTCGGATGCCTCGCCTTGCCGGCGACGTCTGCGATGGTATTCGCGCAGCTCGGTGTCCTGTGCTCCATGCCGTGCGTCACTGTCCGCCGTGGCATTGCACACATCCGGGGCGCCCAAGAGGGGGACGAGGACTGCGACCAGGGAAGGGGACCCTTGCCTCCAGGGGGGGCCCTGGGTTTCTAGGGCGCCGGTGGTTCTGCGATGGCGAGCGTGACGCTCCCACACCAAAACTGGGTGGACGTCCTGGGGTCTCAGGGTTGGGTCTCTCGTGGAAGGTCTCCTGTGGACCAGCCTCCACTGTACAGTGCCGTTTTTCATACATGCTCCGCGTGCGGATCATGTATTAAACATGCAGGGATTTAGTACTAAAAACAACGATGAGTTCACGCATAGATTACTCCATACATTGATCATGTATTAAAAATGATATATTTTCTAAATCCCATGTACTAAACACTGCCCTGTATCTTGGCTAGGGCCATGACTCATGACATATCTCCCAGATGCCATGGCCCTCTCGTCTGTGCCCATGCCTCGGGCCATGCTGCGCCCCATCCCCCTCTCCCGGCCCCCCCTCCCTGCCAGGAGGGGAAAAAAGCACACAGACACAAATTCAGCGTCGACTCCCGGGAAAATGTGCCAAAATATTGGAAGTGGGGGGGGGAAGACGAAACTCCAGAACATACAGGAAAAGATAGGGAATCCTGGGATTTGTGTTCCTTCATTTGTGTGTCCCAGGGCCCCCATCACTCGCGCCCCCCGACTGCAGCTCCGCGCGCCAGGAGGCAGCATGTCTTTGGGCCACAGACCGGATTGCTCCCCAAGCCTTTGAGGTTCGAGACCCCCGCAAGAGGCCCGGGGGGCTTGCGCACTCAGCCATCCCTGACGGTGCTCCGCAGTCGAGAGTACGAGTTCTGGGCTTGACGGTGTAGCGCGGACCGCCGAGCTGTTACGATTGTATGTCGTCGGTTTGGTTCCCTAGGTAGGGTTCACGGGTGGAATGTAATGATCGGGGAGGCGTGCGACTCGGGTTCGGGTGACTGGGCTTGGCCTGACGGGGCCATCCTGAAAAGTGTCGAGATCCAGGCTGAAATGCGGCGCGAGCTCCCGCGGCAGACATCCCACGAAAACTGGACCCTCAAACTCCGGGACGCGCTGGTCAACAAGCGCCGGCAAACCCTCGTTCCGACGGGCTCAAGTTTTACGCTTCCCCGACCGTGCTGCGCCTCGGAGGCAACTCCGAGGCGCCTGCGGGAGCCCGTCGTGGAGTGATAGGCACCCCCGGCATGCTGCCGCGGAGCAGCCTCGGAGGTAGAGTCGCGAGCACGAGCTGGCATGCTCTGTCGAGCGAGGGATAAATCACGCAAGTGGTGCATGGAGAGGCACACCAGACTATATGAGGCATCTGGAACGTCGCCGCAGTGCAGTCCAACACACGGCGAGAACGGACCTCTTGGATCGGCGCTCCGCGCGTACTTCCCGGCGGCGCCTCCGCCGCCGCCCCCGGCGCGCCCCGCGCGCCAGGGAGGAGGGTCCAGCGCCGATTCTAGAAATTCGCGTGGACCTCCGAGTTGTGACGACTATGTCGTTGCATGGTGCCCAATCTTCCAGGGGAAAACCACCCCGATCCCCATCAGTGGCGAATGCTGACCGGCCCATGGGCGCTTTCCAGGCAGCCCCGCCCTGTCCGATTTCTTCTGTGTGTGCGAATGCGAGACTTCTTCGCTTGTCAGGGTGCGTCTTATCCAGGAGGGAAAAAAACATAGACACAATGAATGTCGATCCCCCAGAAAATACGGGAAAATATGGGAATTGGGCGGGTAGACAAAAACCCAGAAAATATATGAAAATATAGGGAATGTTTTTATTTGTGTGTATTTATTTGTGTGTCCTTGGGCCCCTTGACTTACGAGGGTGATTTTCTGCACCGCAGATCTCGTCGGGTGCAAGAGCAGCGGTCGGCCTCCGTCGACTACCGCCCACCAGGGCCGGCGACGGATGGCCAGGGCAGCCCGAGGTTCGTCTACACTCAAGAGTGGCCCTTCGCCGGAGGGACCTTTGGTTCGGGCTCATCGGGGCCCCCCCGATCGCCGAGCGCGATGCGGTACTATAGCGTCTTGCGCGCTCGTGTGTGGTCTCCCCGCGGCCCCCCATGGGCCGCGCACGCAAGTTCACTCTTACCCAGGGTCCCTCTGGCGTGTCGTCGAGAGGTTCAGAGGAGGACAGGGCACCGACACTGCTGCCCTTGGCCTCGCTGTCGCCCTCTTGGCACACCTGGGAGGCCCCCTCGTCGGCACCAGCACTTTCGCCTCGGCATCCTGGTCAGAGCGCGCCCTGGGGGATGTGCAGGGAACACCGGGATCGGTGCTTGCTGGTTTCACCAGAGGTTCGCTGAGTTCATCTGCCGAGCGATCTGGCCTCGGCCCTCGCAGGCCTAGGAGGTTGACACCAGCACCCTGTCGGCGGTGTGCCTCCACCGAGGGAAGCAGATCCCGATCTCGGCGAGGGTGGTCATATGCTGGCCTCCAAGGGGACCGAAATATAGACACCAACACAGCAGAAACCTAGGATCGTCTTCCCCCTGTGGAGGCAAACCCCTGTGCTGGTGTTGGTTAGGGGGCCGCATGCGAACCCTACCTCTACCCCCCCCGAACGAAGTGAACCCCACCCTCCCCCTCAGAAATCGTGGGGGGTAGGGGTAGGGTTCGCATGCGACCCCCTATTGGTGCACATTCCCAGGCCTCCAATACCCTGCCGCCTGCAGACAAACTACCGAGCGGGCCCTCGTCAGTGCCGCCAGCAGCACCGGGACAGGCAGCGCCTGGGCGGCGTTCATATGGCGTGCGCCGCTGGGCGCCCCATCGAACCGGCAACCAGTCCCAGCACCATTTGCACATCAAATAAGAGATAGGCCTGTCAGCAGGTGCCGCACAGATCTTCTTGTCACCTCACTAGGCATGCGGATCGACGAAGGATGGGCCCCAACACTTCTAATAGCAAACTGTCATATTGTATGGGTCTGTTGTGTGTATATATATGCGCAGCCATATATCTATATCTATATATATATATATATATATATATGTATGGTTTTTTCGTTTCTCTCTCTCTCTCTCTATTTCTCTCTTGAGAGCACTTCGACAGTTCCCGCGCGCCAGACGACCGCGGGCGGCGCCGCGAGCCCCGGTGCCGCGGAGAAGTGAGCGCTGCCAGTTAGTATGTGTCTTGCGTGGGTCTTCGCCAGGCTTTGGCTCGGTATGTCCAGTTGTCGCCTCCACGGACGGGCGGCGGCTGTCACTGGACTGATCTGGCGCATTACTTGCAATTTCCAAACCGCCGTTTTTATTGCCTTCAGTCTGATCGAACAAACCGGTGTCTTCTGTATTCAGCGCCGCTGTCCGTTGTTGTCATCAATTCCAAGTAGAGTGAATCGGGTTGGCTATGAAGAGCGACGGCGGTGTTTTTGTGAAGTGGTACTGTGTAGTTCGGTGCAGCGCGTTTGTTGCAAGATGAGTCTGGCACTGGCGACAAGGGGCGACCGACGTGGTACCAGAGGTTAGGGTGAACTTGGGTAGTGACTGGGAGTGTGGCGGATCTTTGACACAGGCCCTTTTAGATCTTAGGCCCAGGCAGCCTCATTCCCACTTCCGTCATCCCTCCCTCCGTTGCCTCCGTCGTTGCCCTTTCCTCTCCGACCATCTCTGCTACCCCTGCTGCCCCCTCCCATTCCGAATGTCCCCCTTCCCCACCCATTCCGTTCCCCCTCCCATCTCCCTTCTCTCACCTCCCTTCTATTTATTACCCTGCCCTTATTTTCATGTCCCCCCCTCACTTCCCCTTCCCATAACTTCTTGTTCCCTATTCATCGCTCCCTTCCTTGCCCATCGTCTTCCTCTCCACGTCCGTCCGTCCTTCCGCTCCCCCCCCTCAACCGCGCCCCTGGCTCCCGATGCACTTTAGTTCGGATGACCGCCAGGGACATCCCATCGCCTGCCTTCGCTCACCCGGCCTCGCTGCCCCTGAGGCAAAGGGGCGGGCCATACGCTTGCTTTCGAGGCCCGGTCGTGGGGCCCGGTGGATTTGCTTCCCGTGCCACGGCTGCTCGACCGACGCCCTGGCGTTCGTCGCCGAGAACTGCGACACGGCGGCCCCCTCACCAGCCCGATCTGTTTGTACCGTCATGTCTGTCCTTTGCATTCCCTCATCTATCACTAGCTTGGTCCGAGCATTGCCTGAACTGGCGTGAGGACGACCCTCTCGAGTCGTCAGCGTCGTCGGCGGTGGCGCAGATGACGCCGCCGCCGCCGCCGCCGCCGTCGTCGTCGTCGTCGTCGTCGTCGTCGTCGTCGTCGTCGTCGTCGTCGTCGTCGTCGTCGTCGTCATCGTCGTCATCAGAGTCGTCGTCGTCGTCGTCGTCGGCGGCGTGTGCGTCAGCGTCGGCGTCAAGCCTCGGCGTCAAGCGTCGGCGTCGGCGTCAGGCGCCCGCGTCGGTGTCAGGCGTCGGCGTCGCTGTCGGCGTCGGCGTCGGCGTCGGCGTCAGGCGACCGCCGCGACGACGACTACGGCAACGCCGCCGCCGTCGTCAGAGTCGTCAGCATCGGCGAAGGTGCCGCAGGTGACGACGAGGACGTCGTCGGCGTCGTCGTCGTCATCGTCGTCGACAGTGTCGCAGTCGTCGTCGGCGTCGTCGTCGGCGTCGTCGCCGTCGCCGTCGGCGTCGGCGTCGGTGTCGTCGTCGTCAGCGTCGTCGTCGCCGTCGATGTCGTTGTCGTCGTCGACAGAGTCGTCGTCGTCAGAGTCGTCGTCGGCGTCTTCGTCGGCGTCGTCGGCGTTGTCGTCGCCGCCGTCGTCGTCGCCGTCGTTGTCAGAGTCGTCATCGTCGTCGGCGTCGTCGTCGTCGTTGGCGTCGTCGTCGTCGCCGTCGTCGTAGTCGTCGTCTTCGTCGTCAGAGAATATTGGTCAGAGTCGTCGTCGTCGTCGTCGTGACCGTCGTCGTCGTCGTCGTAGGCCTCGGCGTCGGGTCGGCGTCGGGTCGGCGTCGGCGTGTGCGTCGGCCTCAGGCGTTGGCGTCGGTGTCGCTGTCGGCGTCAGCGTCAGCGTCGACGAGCACTACGGCTACGCCGACGTCGTCGCCAGATTTTTCAGCGTCGTCGGCGACGGCGGCGCAGGTAACGACGATGACGCCGTCGTCGTCGTCGTCAGAGTCAGGGTCAAAGTCGTCGCCAGAGTCGTCAAAGTCCTCGTCGGCGTCGGCGGCGTTGGGGTCCGCGTCCGCGTCCGCGTCCGCGGCGTCTGCGTCGGCGTCGGCGTCATGCGTCGGCGTCAGCGTCGGCGTCAGGCGACCGCCGCGACGACCACTACGGCGACGCCGCCGTTGTCGCTAGGGTCGTCAGCGTCGGCGGCGGGGGTGCAGGTGACGACGCCGTCGTCGTCGTCGTCGTCGTCGTCGTCGTCGTCGTCGTCGTCAGCGTCGCCGTCGGCGTCGGCGTCGGCGTCGTCGTCGGTGTCGTCGTCGGTGTCGTTGTCGGCGTCGGCATCGCTGTCGGCGTCTGCGTCATCGACGGCGTCGGCGTCTGCTTCAGACGACAGCCGCGACGACGACTACGGCGACGCCGCCGTCGTCGTCGGAGTCTTCAGCGTCGGCGACGATGGCGCAGGTGACGACCAAGACGCCGTGGTCGTCGTCGCCGTCGTCGTCATCGTCGTCGCCAGAGTCGTCGCAGTCGTCGTCAGAGTCGGCGTCAGCGTCAGTCGTCGGCGTCAGGGTCGGCGTCTGCGTCAGGCGACCGCCTCGACGACCGCTACGGCGACGTGACCGTCGTCGTCGGAGTCGTCAGCATCGGCTGCGGTAACGACGACGACGCCGCCGTCGTCGTCGTCGTCGTCGTCGTCGTCGTCGTCATCGTCGTCGTCGTCAGAGTCGTCAGGGCCGTCAGGGTTGTCGTCGTCAGAGTCGGCGTCAGGCGTATGGTTTCTGCGTCGGCATCGGCGTCGCCGTCGGCGTCAGGCGTCGACGTGATGCGACCGCCGCGACGACCACAAGGCGACGCCGCCGTCGTCGTCAGAGTCGTCAGCGTTGGCGACGGCGGCGCAGGAGACGACGAGGAAGCCGTCGTCCTCGTCCTCGTCCTCGTCGTCGTCCTCGTCCTCGTCGTCGTCATAGTCGTCGTCAGAGTCGACGGCGCTGCCGTCAGAGGCGTCGGCGTCAAGCGTCGGCGTCGGCGTTAGGCGTCGGCTGTCGAAGTCGCCGTCGGCGTCGGCGTCGGCGTCATGCGTCGGCGTCGGCGTTACTGCCGACATCGGCGTCGGCGTTGGCGTCAGGCGACAGCCGCGACCACGACTACGGCGACGCTGCCGTCGTCGTCGTCGCCGTTGTCGTCGTCATCGTCGTCCTTGTCGTCGTAGTCCACGTCGCCGTCGCCGTCGCCGTCGTCGTCGTCATCGTCGTCGCCGTCGGCGTTGTCGTCCTCGTCAGAATCGTCGGCATCATCGTCAGAGTCGTCGTCGGCGTCGGCGTCGGCACAGTTGGCGTCGGCGTCAGGCGTCGGCTTTGGCGTCGGCGTCGGAGTCGGCGTTGGCGTCGGCGTCGGTGTCAGGCGTCAGGTGTCGGCGTCGGCGTCGGCGTTGCTTTCGGGCTTTCGGCGTCCGCGTCGGGGTCGGCGTCGCCGTCAGGCGACCGCCGCGACGACCACTACGGCCATGCCGCCGTCGTCGTCAGAGTCGTCAGCATCGGCGGCGGTGGCACAGGTGACGACGCCGGCGTCGTCGTCGTCTGTGGCGTTGTCGGCGTCGTTGTCGTCGTCATCGTCGTCGGCGCCGTTGTCATCGTCAGAGTCGTCGGCGTCGTCGTCAGTGTCGTCGTCGGCGTCGGTATCGGCGTCAGGGGTTAGGTGCCAGCGTCGTCGTCGTCGGCGTCGGCGTCGGTGTCCTTGTCGGCGTCAGGCGACCGCCGCGACGACCACTACGCCGACGCCGCCGTCATCGTCAGAGTCGTCAGCGTCGGCGGCGGTGGCGAAGGTGACGACGCCGTCGTCGTCGTCGTCCTCGTCATCTTCGTCGTCGCAGTCGTCGTCAGAGTCGTCGGCGTCAGAGTCAGAGTCGTCGTCGGCGTCGGCGTCGGTGTCATCGTTGGCGTCGGTGTCGGCGTAAGGCGTCAGGTGTCGGCGTCTGTGTCGGCGTCGCCGTCGTGGTCGGTGTCGGGGTCGGCGTCGGCGTCAGTTGTCCGCCTCGACGATCACTACGGCCACGCCGCCGTCGTTGTCAGAATCGTCAGCGTCATCGGTGCCGGCTTCGGCGTCGTCGTCGGTGTCGGTGACGGCGTCGGCGTCGGCGGGCGTCGGCATCGCTGTCGGCGTCTGCGTCATCGACGTCGTCGGCGTCAGGCGACCGCCGGGACGACGACTACGGTGACGCCGCCGTCGTCGTCAGAGTCGTCAGCGTCGGCGGCGGTGGCGAAGGTGACGACGCCGTCGTCGTCGTCGCCGTCGTCGTCGTCATCATCGTCGTCGTCGCCGTCGTCGTCAGAGTCGTCGGCGTCGTCGTCAGAGTCGTCGTCGGCGTCGGTGTCGGCGTTGGCGTCGGCGTCGGCGTCGGTGGCGTCGGCGGCAGGCGTCGGTGTCGGCGTCGGCGTCGGCGGCGGTGGCGTAGGTGCTGGCGCCGTCGTCGTGATCGGCGTCATCGCCGTCGTCGTCGTCGCCGTTGTTGTCTTCAGAGTCGTCGGCTTCGTCGTCAGAGTCGTCGTCGGCGTCGGCGCTGTCGGCGTCAGCGTTAGGCGTCGGTGTCAGCGTCGGCGTTGGCGTCGGCGTCAGACGTCAGGCGTCAGGTGTTGGCGTCACTGACGGCGTCGGGTTCGGCGTCGACGTCAGGCGACCGCCGCGACGACCACTACGGCGACGCCGACGTTGTCGTCAGAGTCGTCAGCGCCGGCGGCTGTGGCGCAGGTGACGACGCCGTCGTCGTCGTCGTCGTCGTTGTCGTCGTCGTCATTGACGTCGTCGTCGCTGTCATCGTCGTCAGAGTCGTTGGCTCGTCGTCAGAGTCGTCGTCGCCGTCGGCGTCGGAGCCAGCGTCGTCGGTGTCGGCGTCTGTGTCGGCGTCGGCGTCGGCGTCGGCGTCAGGCGTCAGGTGTCGGCGTCGGAGAGTCGTCGGCGTCGGCGTCGGGGTCGGTGTCTGCGTCGTCGGCGTTGGCCTCAGGCGTCGGCATCGGCGTCTGTGTTGGCGTCGGTGTCAGCGTCGGCGGCGGTGGCGAAGGGGACGACGCCGTCGTCGTCGTCGTCGTTGTCGTCGTCGCTGTCGGCGTCCCTACCAGCAGGTGGACAGCGCGTGCCTGCTCTGGCAGGGCGTGGGCAGCCTCACCGTGGAGAACTACACCGCCCACCTCGGGAACGCCACAGCCACAGGCGGGGGGCGAGGAGGCGGAGGTTCGGTGTCCTAGACGCCCTCATCCTCCCTCCTCCTTCTCCTCCTTCTCCTCCTCCTCCTCCGCATTCCCCCCTCCTCCCCCTCCCTCCCCCTCCCCCTCCCTCCTACTCTTCCTCCTCCCCCTCATCCTCCTCCCACCTCCTCCTACTCCTCCTCCTTCCTCATCCTCCTCCTTCTCCCCCTCCTCTTCCTCCTTCCTCCTCCCTTCTCCCTCCCCCTTCTCATCCTCCTCCTCATCCTCCTCCTCCGCATCCCTCCTCCCCGCCCTCCCGTCTTGAAAATGCGCCTGCGAAGATGCCAAGCAATTTGTGAAGGCCTTGTGGCTGGTGCCGCCGGCCCTGAAGGCCAGACCCCCCCCCGGGACCCCGGGGTGCCCGGCGTGCCCCTTCCCGGACCTCGGGGCCATGGGCCACGGCCGGGGCCGGGGCAGGGGCTGCTGCCAAGGCCAGGCTATAGGGCCATCGCCATGGCTGGCGCCGGGGTCGGGGCCGGGGCCGGGACCGGGGCCGGAGCCGGGACCACGGTTGGTCCCCCACCACAGGAGTAGCCCCTGCTAGCACCCCCCCCTGTCCACAGCGTGGGGCCACCCCCGCCGGGGCCCCTGGGAGGCGGCGGTATAATCTGACCTGGGGCCAGCCTCCTGACACCCCCGTTCGTTCCTCAATCTTCTTGGGACCCAAACATATTCAGCTGCGAGCATCGCGGGGCAGGTGAGATAGAGGAGGAGGGGCCACCACAAGGACTGCGGCGCTAACACGGTAGGAATAGTGGGCACGGGTTCGCGAGAGGATGATTTGTTTGGTCCCGAAGCCCGAACGAGGCGGTTGTCGTGCCCATTTCCTGCCCGTTTCCGTTGTGCGTTGCGTTCCTGCCCGCGGTGCCACGAAGGGCGGGAGTTTGCCGAATCGGGTGCGGGTACGCCATGCGGACCCTGCCGCTGGGGCCTTCGGTGGAGCTCCCGAGGCGGCGACGATACATGTGAGGACTGTGCCGAATCGAGTGCTAGTACTCCATGCGGACCCTGCCGCTGGGGCCTTCGGTGGGGCTCCCTGTGGGGCCACGAAGCGTGTGAGTGGTGCGCCGACACAGAGGCAGGCGGAGTGGAGGAGTAGGAGGACGCAGTGGAGGAGGAGGAGGAGGAGGAGGAGGAGGAGGAGGAGGAGGAGGAGGAGGAGGAGAAGAAGTAGGAAGAGGAAGAGGAGGAGGAGAGGACGCCGTGAAGGACAAACACGAGGACACCGTGGAGGAGACCGACGACAAAGACGAGGACGCCGTGGAGGAGGAGGAGGACGAGGAGGAGGAGGCCCTCCTGACCAGCTCTGGCACCGCTGCCGCTCCCCACGGTCTGGAACTTCTGGATAGCGTGTCGCTCCGCCGGATCTGGCCCACCACATCTTGACGCAACACGCTATCCTCCTCGTGGTCCCCCAGAGTCAACGCCCCGAGCCTATCCTTGTCGAGGCCTCCCGCCCCGCGGAGCGGAGCGACACGCTAGCCACTCGCAAGGCATTGCGTGTCTCTGGGGCCGCCGCCGCGACACGCTAAGCAACAGTTCCCGACCGTACCCCCTGGCTTCCGCAGGCGGCCTCGCGGCGCAGTGCGCGCGCGCCATCGACGCCGCGGCCGGCGTCCGGACGCGCACGGCGGCGCCCGCGCCCCTCTCCGCCGTGAGGAGGCGAGGTCTTGACGGACACGGGTCTCTGGACTCTCCCTGGCTGTCTTGGGCACCAGTTCGTCACCCTGGGCCGTTTCAAGGAATCGGGGACGTGGATACGCCGGCCTGGACCATGATGTCTCCTCTAGTTCATGGCCACGCACATGCCTCGGACCATGATTTGTGAACCTCGCTGTCGGACGCCCCGCTCTTTGACGCCCACGAAGGAAGTTGTTCCGTAGATTCCAGCAAGCTTGCTTGCATGGTGGGGCGGAGGGCGTAACGATGCCCGAAAGGCAGTCTGGACTTCAAGCAAGCCAGGAACTGCTTGCACGCCTGTTCGGCCCAGAGGTGGTGGAGGGGGGCGTGCCGTGCAAGCAAGCCTGCTTCAGCGCAGAAAGAGACAGCCTCTCCACAGGTCTGGACCCACGCGCTGTTTTGCTACACTTCGGCTGTGTTTTGTTTTTCGCTTTGGGAGGAAAGTGAAGGACAACAGGCAGAGCAAAACGAAAAGCAAGACGTACACAACGAAAAACAACGATTAGGTCCAGCCCTGCCTTTCCAAGGACGGCCCCAGGGCCCGCGGGAAGGGCACCCGAGGCCCGAACGCGGCGGAAACGAACGAAGACCCCCCTTCGCTCCAAGATTAAGTCGGGAATGTCCTTCTGCAGGAGAAACATTCGTGAATATTCCAAAATAGTCTGGGGACGTTTTTAATTTGTTGTCCTATGTTTGAACATGTGTTTGCCATTTATTCTTGTTCGTCCTAAACCCGCCTGTAGGGGGAACGTGCCAGACTTTACTCCAGGACCCCGCCTCCTCCCTGCTGATCTCGAAGAACAAAAAACGGCACAGACACAAACCTTTCGACGCTCCGCACACATCTCCTGGATATGTGCCGGGACCCCCCTGGCGGCGCCTCTGGCGGCGTCCCTGCCGCGCTCCGCGCGCCTGGGAGAGGGATGCCAGCGCAGATCCAAGGCATCCGTGCTTACCGTCGGAAGGTTATGTTTATGCCGTTTTTCTCGGGGGCGCGCAAACATGGATTAGCGATCCGTGGATTTGTCGCGCGGTCGCCAAATCCAAGGATCGGGGGAGGTGCCCTCCCCAAAATGCGGCCAGTGCCGCCCCGTCCGGCGGCGGGAATCGGCGATGTCCCACGGAAAGGGGGCCCGTCGCTCATCCACGCCCCCTTGCTCCATGGTTGCGATCGCCTGAAATTGCTTCTCCTATGATCTCGCTTCCCCCATAGTCCGTCCCCAGTGCCCGTGCATCGGTCCCCCGTTGCCTGGACACCCTTTGGCACGCACGGCGGCGGCAGTCGCGGTGCATCGAAAGCCTTCGGTTAAGTCGGGCCTTTCCTTCTACAGGAGGGAATCCAAATATAGTTTAGAAAATAGTCTGGGGATCACTTTTTGACCACTTTTGTCGACTTGGGATTTGTTGAATATTTCTTCCTTCAAAAATCCTCTTGTATGGGGGACATGCCCGAACTAAGCCTTCGGTCAGGGTGCCCTCCTCCCCCTCCTATTCGAAGATAAACCCTTTCGGCAGAGGACCCCGGGCAGTTTTCGACATGCGCACGGGCTTAGATTGGCAGTAGCAGCACTACAGTCCTATGCGCCCAGTGAGGACGCGCCCCTGTCGTCGAGGGTGCCCCTGTGTCCTTGCCCCTGCGGCCCGCCTTGTGCCGTTGTCCCTCGGTCGCCCGCCGGCCACAGAGAATGCCACCTGCGGCCTCCGAGGGCCTGGCGGCCTGACCACCCGTCCGCAGTGCACCTCTCGACCGTAGGCCCGCAGCGCGCAGGAAAAGATGTAGGGGGGGGGGAAGGTTTCTCAGAGGCACCCCTGCTTCTTGGAAGGCGCGCGCCTCGTCTACAGATGTGGGGCCGTCGCCTTCTGAGAAGCAGCCTCCTTCTGAGACGCCTTGCCCCCTCTCTACCCCCTCTTGCGCGCCGCTACATCGGCACAGGGGGGGACGCATCGGTCCCGCATCGCCCACTGATCGCTTATAGGGGTCTGATAGACCCACCCGCCCAGGAGGGTGCGGACTTGCTATCGGGGGACTATCGCCGATCTGTCGGCGATGAATCGCCGATTCCAAGTCGATGTGCCCCCCCTTGAGCCAGTCCCCTGGTGTTTTTTTGCGTCACAGCTCAGGCCTCCCGCGGCCGTTCGGGCCGGTCTGGGTGTTCGGAACGCCTTCGGCAAGGCGCAGCCGCTGGAAGGCACCCCGAGGCTGGGAAACCGCCGAGAACCTGGGAGAGGCGCTTCAGTGGAACCAGCAAGAAGCATATGTTACCCGCTGGGGGTCCAGAACAGTTCTTCCACAGAGCTGTGAGTTTCAGCCACAACTATCATGCTTAGACCGTTCGGTCCTCGTTTGCGCGCGTGTCGCTCAGCCTGTATACCCCAAATCCTTGATACAGTCGGGGCCCTGAAGAAGGAACCCTTTTTGTTGGGGAGGGGCTCCGTGTTCCTTAGTTGCTTTACAGTGCTCCTTGGGCGTTCCTGAGGTTTTCCATGGAACATCGGAGTTTAATGTATGGGAAAAAAGGGGCCTCGTTCCTTATTTATCGTTCCTTAGGTCAACTCCCCGACTGTACTCGCCCACTCCGTCTTCGATCGTGCCTCGAACCTCGAACTCGAGCCGGTGGCTGCGCGGGCTGGCCGGCCCGCCGCCCGCCGCGGCCGCAGGGCAGTGGGGCCCTCCCCGCGGCCGACCGCGTGGCCGCCCGGCGGGCCCGAAACCTGCGGCGGAGGAGGCGCGCGCCGAGGCGGCGGCGGCCTCGCCAGGGAGTCACGCCCGAGCTGGGTGCCGCGCTCGCGCAATGCAATGAGGCCAGGGTTAAGTCGGGCCTGTCCCCCTACAGGGGGATTTTCGACGACAAATGAAACATATTCCAACAAAAATCAAAAATAGTCTGGGGACTATTGTTTGAGTATGTTTTGACTTTTTGGGGGGTATTTTGGGGGCATTTTTTAAGTTTTGGGGGCATTTTGGGGGCATTTTTGGGGGCATTTTTTGGGGTATTTTGGGGTATTTTGGGGTATTTTTGGGGGTATTTGGGGGTATTTTGGGGGTATTTGGGGGTATTTTGGGGTATTTTGGGGTATTTTGGGGGTATTTGGGTTTTGACTTTTTTGGGGTATTTTTGGGGGCATTTTTTAAACTGTTCGTCGAAGATCCCCCTGTAGGGGGGACACGCCCGACATAAGGCCAGGGCAGCACCCTCGGTGGGGCCGCAGCGCGTGCTGTTTGCCGTGCCCACGACCCCCCCCCAACAACAAAAAATAAAACCCAACGAGATTCAGCAAGAAGAGACAGAATACGAGCACACGAAAATATTGAAAGTTGATAAGCACAATGAGACCGCCAGATTGATCACTACGGCAGATCCTTCCCTTGTTGGCACCGAAGCACCAAAATGTTCGCACTGGAGCCGGTCCCCACGGAACGCCCTCGGCAAGGCGGTAGCCGCTGGAAGTCACCCCCGGGGCTGGGCAAAGCCGCCGAGGAGCAGCGAAAACGCTCGACAGCCTCGAGCCTGGAAGCTCGAGCTTCGAGCCTCGAACCTCGAAGCTCGACCCTCGAACCTGAGCCAGTGCCCCGCCCGGCTCCTTGCCCCTTAGGGGAGCGCGCGCGGGGGGAGGGGGGAGGAGAAGGAGGAGGAGGAGGAGGAGGAGGAGCAGGAGCAGGAGGAGCAGGAGGAGGAGGAGGAGGACGCAGTGGAGGAGGAGGAGGAGGAGGAGGAGGAGGAGGAGGAGTATGCAGGAATAGCCCAAAGATGGCATGGGAACGATTTTCTGATTATTTTTGAGGTTTTATCGATATTCTGGATTCTGGTTTGTTTTTCCTCCAAAATCCGAATGTAGGAGGACACGCCCGACCTAGGGCGACACTGGGGTGAAGTGAGAAGGGGCGGGCATTCTCAGAAGGCTCAGAAGCCCCCTGACCGTCTGACGAGTTTTCGAAGCCTTCCCTGAAGATCGCAGAAAACATTGGGAAGCCCCGCCGCCTCCTGAGAGAGGCCTTCTCCTTCTCACGTTCCCCCTCGCTCGCCGCCGAGTCTTGCGAAAAAAGGAACGCATGGAACCGGCAACATGCACCGGGAATGGGCGACTGACCGAGGGAAGGGTGGGGGCTG